GAACTTAAGAGGAAAAGTACCTTTGTAAATTTAATTGTTTTCTTGATTTCAGTATTTTTTCGCAAAGAATGTAAGGTGCACAACCCTAACAAAATTGGAACGCTTTTGGTTCCATTTTGCAAAATGCAATCCATGTAGGGAATTAATCGACTAACTGATGAAGAGCCATATCGTGGGTGCAGGTATTCGATTATTATTGATGGTATTGTTGGCAGAAGTTATCTATGCTTGAAGTTAAAAAGGATTGAAAACAACTATATGAAAGGGTAGGCAGGGGCGAGGGAAGAGAGGGGAGCGATCTATTGTATTTTAGTTGGATGCTGGAACTCCGAACTGCGTGATGCGACCATTTTAACTTCCGTGTAGTTTTAATTGCATAGCCACTAGTATGAAGGCGTTTTCAGTTTTGTACTTGTATTCTAAGTTCTATATCTCTACTGCGAGGCGTGATGCTTCAGAGTATCTAGGCACGTTTCACTCTTGAAAAAAAATCTAACCTGATGATCGTCATGAAAGTAACTATGAATATATTTGTTTTTGGTTTAAAAAATAATTATTAACGGAGACTAGCAACGTCGCAATAGAGATACACATTTCTTTACCTTGGTCATTTTTACGTTACTTTCTGGATTCAATACGATATAATGGCAGGAATCTGCCTTAAATAATCGTATTGAAGAAAACCCACACGATAACTTAACATATCTCAACACTCCGAATGTTATCTCCAGAGGCTCTTCGTGGTGTTCCTCTAGTTATTAAGAGAAACTGATTGTTGCTTGAATCGTAGAACTGCAGGACCACTCTCTGGAGCATTTTATCTCACTTGCACGGTAGCATTACTGCCGTGCTAAGGAAGAACGCCGTATGAGCCTTAGACGTTGCCAAGTTTCCTTCGATAAAAAGCGAATTTATTAGGAAAATTGGGACTATTTTTTTCCGAAATCTCACAATTGTTCACACATTGTTCAGACAATTTTGCACGCAGTTTAATCTAAGACATATGAAAATTTCAAGGAAATATATGCATGAACGTCGTCAAAAAAATACATGTTTTATGAATGGAAGTTGGGCAACTCTCGAATGTTCGTACGGCGTTTTCCCTCGGCACGGCAGATTAGAAATATGAAAATACACTGCAGAACTAGGAAGGGACTACACCTTTTATTCGTTAGGATCTAGAAATAGGGAAGTGGAACTTTATCGGGAACATCCGCAGAAACACCCGGGTAAAATATACCTACTCCACCGACTAATCTAATTTTAATGAAGTGGATTATTCAGCTACAATAGCAAAGCATCGCCCTCTTATTGTTGGAAAACAAGAATTTTGCATGAAAAAATAGTAAGTGCTCAAAAATTGAAGTCATTTCAGACAAACCTAGCAGTAAGTTTACGATACTCGACCGTGAGAGAGGCGTGCTTACTGCTGTTTCAGATAAATTAGTACACCCTTCCCTACGATTCCATTTTTGTTCATTGTTCGTAAAAACGCATGTATCACACATGATAGCAGAGGACAGCACGTGCCGCTGTCTTGTCTGAAATTAAATTAAGAAGACTCTTTTTATTAAGTAGCAGCAGCAGGTAAAATACGTTGATTTTCAATCATCCGAACAATTTTTAAGAGTGATCGACAATTTTATGAGGAGCGTAAGACGTCGTTCGATAACATTTTCTTCTCGGACTCTACAAGAGGCCTATTTTCTCAAAACCTAATTTTTGCCCTTAGAACGGCGGTTTCGTAACCGAAATGCTCGGTTTACGACCACCGACCGGGAATTTCAGCTGTCGTTCCCGGCATGCAACTTTCCCGGGAAACGTTGATTCCCATACATGATTCCGTGGCTACTATTCTACACATCCCCACCTCCTAATTCTATTTAGGTATTAGAAGCTACACCTAACCTAACCTAACCTAACCTAACCTAACCTAATCTAACCTAACCTAACCTAACCTAACCGACCGGGAATTTCAGCTGTCGTTCCCGGCAGTCAACTTTCCCGGGAAACTTTGATCCCCATACATGATTCCGTGGCTACTATTCCACACTCCCCCCACCCCCGCCCTCCTAATTCTATTTAGGTATTAAAAATCATTCATAGCCGGGGCCGTGGAGCCGACCTAAGTCGAAAATCACATTCGCATACCCTGGCGAGCATTAAAGGCGGGATACTCTCCGCGGAGAGTGTTGAAAAGGAGCCTCCCCCGTCGAGAGAAGCGAGCCGAGCGATAAAAAGATTAGGAGGCAAGTGCTCGGAAACTTGGCCGAGCGTCAGTGGCGGAACAAAGGGAGTCATTAGACGGGGCGTGAGCGGTTAAATATGACGGAATCGATGGAATCGTCTCTCTGGCATGAGTGAGCCGCTCATGAATGCCCAGACTCCCCGACGCCCGACGCAAAACTATGCCCGGCATAGTAAACGCAGCCCTGAATGGAGTACTATGGTAGTAGGGCGGTAACTAGACTCCGCCGTGACGTCGTCGCAACGGCGCCTAGACTCGAGGGGGTGGGAGCGCCCCGACGCTTCAACCCTTCACTCGAGAGTTGTGTTTACTGGAGTAACGCTTCGAGGGTCTGCCCCGGCACGATCACGCTAGCGCCGGCATGGATGCAATACCGATGCACAGCCGCGTTTCGTGAGTAGCGGCAGTGGTGCCGCTTTCCCTTCACCCCCTCCCTGTTACCCCCGGGTGCGGTGCCCGGCGTGGCAACGTGGGTTTCGTTCCAATCGATGCCCCGTGGCGCTGCGTTGCGGAGCCTTGAAGACTCGGGAGGGGACGGGGGCTCCTCGCCGCGCTTCCCCTCCGGTGCGCCTTCATTCGCGCAGCATACTACCCGCCACGCGGCGCTGCGCCTTCATTCGCGCAGCGCACTACCCGCCGCACGGCGCTGCCTGTCTTGTAGCCTAGTTTCAATCATCTAGCTGGCCAGATGCCATGCAATTGCAACTCGAACCTACATCACCGCCACCGATCTCCTCGTGATGCGCGCTGCACTCCTACCCCCTCGCCAGCCCCCGTCTAGCCGCCTCGTCGATTATATCAGTTTTCCCAGCTTTTATTAATTTCTAACTAATGCTCCAGCGTAGTGGTGTTTTGCTAAGGTCTTTCTCGCTTGAGATCACTGCGCTCTTTGCGGTGGAACGATGAATTACATGTATTTACGCTCCATGCGCCGTGAGAATTTCGAGAAGGGAACAGATTGCATATTTTGCTTACTGGGAAATCTTTTCATGGAGGAAAATGCAATTTATTGTTTATTATTTGAAATTCGAGGCTCTCCAAATTGGCGTTTACGATTTTACCGAAACACCAAGCGTTCTTCGTAGATTGTGCAATCCGAAGACCGGGGCAAGTTTTTGTTTTATTTCTCGGGAGGGTTTTCTTTTTTCAGAGAGCCTGTCTATTACTATGTTTGCGCGAGATCAATAAAAAAGAGCATAAAGACATGGATTTGTTATTATATTCTTTCAATAGTGAAAATCATTCATTGAGAAATTCACTTAAAGTTGATTTTATTTCCTCTATCTCGATAGTAAAGCAAACTCCAAGAACATGTAACTCAGCTCCAGCGTTTCAAAATGAAAAACTAACGAATATTATGACTTGAAATTTTTTACGGAATAAGAGTGACAGGGTAAAGAAAAATCTAAAAAAGAAATCTTTTAGAATCAATAACGAATTGTTTTTATTTAAAATAAAATAAATAAACAAATAAAAGACGAGAGGACGTTTGCAAGTTTGGTGTTTTGAGATTTGTACTCAGAGTTTAGGCATAGCTTTATGCTGTAAAACACGATTTCATGCTGGGATTGGTTCAATGGTTACCAAATTGATGGACAATTTCCACCTAGAGATCCCTTAGCTCATTTGACTCAAATACTATGCGTCTGTGAATCGCAAAAATTTGTTAGATGACCAAAATTTCACTCATTATTTTTCCATGCACCTTTGAAGAACTACAAAAATCAGGTACCAGGCACCTACAAAACTGGGCAAATCTGCGAAAAATAGACATTGCCGTGAATGCCCTCGAAAAAGCTTTGTCACTCGCAGACGGCTCGGAGCCAAGAACATCAGCGAAGAAGGTCTAATGGCAAAACTCTGAGTTCTGATCAGTCAAGAACATCAAATTTTGACAAGTCACACTTACACCTTTTTTTTTAAAATTAGTTTGGTTCAGGTTGGTCCGTGCTTCCAAGCCTCAGTAAATTTTTGACACAAATTAGTGGTTGAAGCTATCGAACCTTTTTCCTAACGATTTTATCATTGGGTCATACTTTGTCTAAAAAATCCTTTGTCTTAAAAACACACTTAGGTCCAGTGTCTGATTTATACAGCGAAAATTAAGATGAAAATCTCTGAGAATGCAAGATATTCCAACCCGGCTGAATGAGACACACGACCAAAAGAGTAGGATGTAATTCACTAGAAAATTGAGAGGGATCCCCATATCTAGGGACGTCATCCTCATCGGAGGGGAAATTTTCGATCATTCGCTATAGCGCTTATTTGCGTTCTTTTAGGGGTTAAAAATTGTTAAATTTGACTTCGATGCTAGCGGAGAATTCCCGCGTGAATGATGGAAACTTGCAGCGGGAAGGAGGGGGCGAAGCAGGGGGGTGGAGAGGAAATTCATAGCCAGCGATTTGCGAGTAGCTGGCATTTAGCTTTGGCCCATATTCACCGGAATGACAAACTTATGGCCCGCCAACAAGTTAATGCGCATTTTACCGCAAATTCCGGCTCATTCGAGCACTTCACAATGGCTTTCGCCCGGTTTTAATCTTTCTCCCTTTTTTAATCCCCCCGCTTTTTCAAAACCCCCCCGTCTAATTTGCGACAAAACTACCAACTCCCCACTTTTTTCCTCTCGGTTTAATTTGTCGACAGAGCAGGGAGGGGCTAATCAAATCATCGGAACCTTTGATGTTTCCGATATTTAATTTCTTATACTTTTTCGATCCTGCTCATCGGTCATCTTCGTCTGTTTCAGAGTCAAGAATTGGGCCTTGAAATTTGGTGTTGATCTGTGGGAATTTGGCCGCCAGTTCACGAAACTAAATGAGATTCAAAAGGTAAGTTCAGATTGGATATAAAATGAATTTAATAAACGCGAAAACTCAATTAAATGTATTTATGCTGTAAGGTGATTCGACGAACGCCATTTTTTGTGTCAGAGCGACGTGCGATATATCGCATCGATTCGTTTCATAATTTCAGCTACTTGTCATTTTTTCCGAATTTTGAGATCGCACTTCTGTTGTCATGAGACGAAAGAATTCATGTACCAAGGTTTCAGGACATTCCGTCAACGATTTTTTGTCCGCGCACCTGTTTTGTCCAGTAGTTTACGTCCACGCGGAAATTAAAAGTTGTGTGGAAAGAAACTGTACAAAAATGAATAGAAAAACCAAGAAGCACGCAATCATTAGTTATAACCCATATGACTATGTACATCGATCTTTTAGAGTCAAGCACGTCCGATTTCGAGCGTTTGGTTGCGCGGACACCGCGCTGAACACAGTAAAAGCACAAAATATAAAAGAAAACATTAAAGTGCTTTGGGAATCATTAAATTTGACACAGAACGATCGTAATATTTACATAACACATTTTATATTTTCCTCAAATACAATTTTTTTTCATCAATTTAAATGAGGAAAATCCATGCAGAGTTTGCAAAAATTTCATAATCATGAACTGAAAAACACCGACTCCGCGATTTTAAATATTACGAGCCACAACACAGAGCGGAGCGGCGCGGCGTGCTACAGGCGCGAAACGCGCACGAACGCCTACAAACCTAAGGGGATACTTTACGCATTGCGCAATGCTTGAAGTATCCTCTTAGGTTTGTAGGCGTCATTGCGCGTTGGGATATGGTCCGCCGCCCGCCGCGCCGCAGTGTGCCACGGCGCTTCAAGCAACTATTTCACAACAGAGGTGTTGCACAGTATCAAACGAAATTGAAGGCGCTCCAATATTTTGAGAATGATAGGCATCCTTTAAGAGTACGAAGCTTTCCTCGAGAAATAAGTTAAGGTACTACAGCACGAACTCTCCTGCCGAAAAAACGTGTGGACATAAACTACTAGAAGAACCAGGTGTGCGGACACGAAATCGTTGTCGAAATGTCCTTCAACCTGTACCAAATTTGACAAAGAAATTCAACGAATAAAGCCAGGGTTTTTTTAGAGGAAAAAATATCGCATTCGAGTGCAGTTTCGATATCAATACCGAATGCAATACTTTCCCTTTTAAAAAAACCCCTGCCTTTATTATGTTGAATTTTTTTGTCAAATTTTATTGAATCTTCATTAAATGTTGCCAATTTTCCTCTCTTAAACCGTATTTTTGGTGGGAGAAGCTTGATCATTTCTAACTGAAAATTTAATTCATTATTCTTCAGATCTCATGCAAAAAACAGACAAATTTTGAACAAAAATAGCTTAAGTATTTTTTCGTAAAAAAATTAATTTTTCGAGTCATTTTGCAACCTTGGAATGAAGTTACGTTCCTGCGGGCGGGGAGCAATACTGCCGTGCTAAGGAAGAATGCCGTATGAGCATTCGTGTGTTGCCAAATTTCCTCTTAGAAAATCTTTAACTTTTAAGAGAGTTATGAATATTTTCCCCTTAAATTTTAAGAATCTTTAGATCAAATTATGGACGAAACCCTCTGGAAAATTGAAAGAGAAATATTCACAATTTCTTTCTGAATACCTATTCTTATTTTGTCGAAGGAAATTTGGCAACGCCTGATGGTTCATACGGCGTTCCTCCTCAGCAAGGCAGAATAGTCCCATCTAGAAAGGTAAAATTGAGCGTTAATGTTTCCACGAAATGCGTTACGTTATATGTTATTGCGACCTGCTCATATCCGTACAATAAATCAATTTTCAATATTAATAGCCTCCTTGAAGTATTATTCGACGAGAGTTGGGCTACATTTTTGGACTTTTTTTTAAAATTTTACTATTGTCAGTGACGGTCTTGTGTCTTCAGCACACGCCTTGTTGAAAAATAATCATCGCCATCGATAGATAACCGCCCTTTTCCAATATTGATTAACCCGTTTCCGTTCTTCCTTCCTCTCAGCTGTGCTAAGGAAGAACGCCGAATGAACATTCGAGAGTTGCCAAATTTACCCGAAGAAAGTATGTATTTTTCAGGAAAATTACGATTATTTTTCTTTGAAATTCTCAGATATTTCAGATCAAAGTGCGAACAAAATTGTCTGAATAGTTTAAAGAAAAATTTTCACAATTTTTCCAATAAATTCGTCTTATATTGAAGGAAATATGACAACGCATGAAGGCTCGTACGGCGTTCTTCCTTAGCACGGCAGTCCTGTTGTCAATTGCTCTGGGGACACTTGCAACCAATAACAGGTATTTCCATGCAAAGTTTATGAGTTTCTGGGCTCTTAAAAGCTCTTCCTCTATGAGCAACCTCGTTAAGAGACTTCCTCGTCAAAGGTTAAATTATGCAAGAGCTTCCCCCTATTTGCCACGTTTCAAAACCCTATCCTTAGTCAATTTCCATTGAAAATAATGATCAGTATCATGCCTTGAAGTTTCTCATGTTTCTTTTCCTCTTATTATCCTGCCAAGATATAGAATTTTCTAAAAAATTCGTTTGCGAATAATTGGAGTATTTATGCTGAAATAAACTATGTTGCCCGCAAATCCTACGCGCATGGTTATTTTTACCATAAATAGGTCCAATTGTGCATCTCAGATTGCTGTTTCACCCTCATTTTTTCTTCTTTCACATTATGCTTTAGAAAGCTATGAAAGAGAATCGAGCGGGCTGATTGTTGAAATTGATAGACAAAGCGATAAATAAAGAAGACATAGTGAGTATGGACCGATCCTATTGGTTGAAATGGGTGGTTTCTATGGACTAAGGGAGGAAATTATGGACTAACTATGGCGTCTCTTGTGGGTTGCCGTTAGTTAGTCTATTACGTACCTCCTTCGTCCATTGCAATCACCCGCTTCCACCAGTAGGATCCCTCTATATCCCTTTTGTCTTCTTTGTTCATAAGTTTGTCTATCAATTTCAACAATCAGTCCACAGGAGCCAACTGTTCCGGCCTATTTAAGAAAAAAATATAGGTAAATGCAATACAGATAGGCACTCCTATAAATTTTTGTACGCATTAAAGTTATTTTTTGTGGTCGCTGCCGGTTTAATTGAATGATTCTTCGTGAATTTTTATCCGATCATTAAAATGACAATGACACCCTTGATATTTAATCACCATTGCCTTTGTTTCAGAAATATCATGACTTTGACGTACAGATATCGAGGAAAGATGGGTTGATTCTCATCAGAGAGCTGGCGGCTGAAGTCAAGAACATGATGGATATCAAAATGAACGCTTTAATGGTACGTTTCAGTCATATTCAACGGACATGGACAATATCTAACTCGTTCCTATATTCGGACCAAGTTCATCAGAAAAGAACCTACCCCCATAAATTGAAACTGAGAAAAAGAGGGTTGAAGTTTTACTCCTGCATAAGGCTCAGTGTAGAAAATTAACTTTAACCCCTCTTTTCACATACTAATTTCTTTTTCTCGATTTTCAGACCTAAGCAGGAGAAAACAAACGACTAGTGCAACTCAAAACCATTCTTGAGTCAATTTTTTTTAAAATGTGGGTTGGTTCCTTTCTGATAAACTCGGCCCATTTGACGTTACCTCAATGCGCGTCGGGTATCTTACCATGGTTTTCTTGGTAAAAGAAATTACACTCCGACATTTCAAAATATCAACTTGCATAATGTATATTCACAAGCAAAAATCAGCGAAATTGTGGACAGAAACTGCATGGTCATATTCTTGTGACACATTGAATTGTTTGGGTCAATTTTGCAGTATTGGAATGGAGTTATTTCTTTTGGAAAACGGCATTGTACAGTCCCAATCTACCGAAATAAGGTCTAAGCCGAAAATCGCCATTTGTCTTCACTATCTGACAAAACGGCTATTCTAAATCTTCTCTTTTGATCTGTTTTGCGATTGCCCGCTACTATTTCCTAAGGTTATGACGATACCTCACAATTCAAAAACAATTCAGGTATATACCTGTACAAAAAAAATGGGTAAGTTGGGTTGAAAAATCCAGAGATCTAAAAGACGGAGACGTTTCGGAGTCCTAACAACCCGATTTTCAACCGGACATAATTAAAAATAAATTTAAAAAGAAATAAAGGCGCATTTTCTAGCTTTGTCCCTGTTTCAGTTATTTTTCACTTTAGTCCAACTGAGCATGGGGTTGTGTTTATTTTTGTCACATTTCGGCCTATTGCGTCGTTTTCATTACGGTTCAAATGAAAAAAAAAAAAAACCGCGTCTAAAAAATCGCGACGGGGCCGTCAATAAAGTCAAAAAGGTCGGACGGGATCCACGCCGCAACGAGGACTTTTAAACGAAAAAGTACCGGCAACGACCTGAGAGTAGATTAATCAGAAAATCAAGACGAGTAAACTCGAACGTATGGAATTAACGTTGACTGGAGTTTAGCACTCTTGAGCAGAGTTGCCATGCGTGTTTTATTTTTTTTTTAATTTCCCCCGGTTTTTATCCAATTATAACCACGCAGGATTTTCAATCTTCATCTCAGTCGTGGCAAGACCCCCAAAAATAATCAGAAATGCCAACCATGTTTTAATGATTATTGCCCATCAATTGTCGACGGGTAAATCATTCAAAATTGGAAGTAATCGTGCGAAACGGAAAATTTCATCAGACCTTTTTTAAAAAGAACCCTTCCATTTTAAGAGTGAATCCTGTTTGAAATTGGCCGTATTTATATGTATATATTATACGTATTTGGGGTGATTCCATGTTTATATCCCACTGCAAATTTAGGACATAACGTTAAATACTTGGCTGACTGCGAGATAGTGCGTCATAAGAATAGATAAGTCGCAGGCAATGAGAAATCGCCGGCACTCTGCAAGCTACTAGGTGATTAAAAAGAAAAGCATAAAATTCAGAAATAAAGGAACAAAGTTAGAGTACCAGTTATTTTGCTTTCAATGTGAATAGGCACTCTTTCCTCCGTAAAAACGCGGTAAGTTAAGCTTACTTAGAAGAACGTGTAGTAAAAACCCCGACCCTAGTTGGGTTAATTTGGATCGGACATACAACTAAACTAACTCCGCGATGAAGCGTAGCGCATCACAAAAAATGAAGGCGCTCCAAGTCGCAATCATGCATTTGACTCAAATCCTCATCATACTGATGCGTTATTATTGCGATTTACCGAAATAACATGAAACATGAAAGTCGCTTGCTAATTGTCGGTGATCGCTGATTGCTTGCGATGGATAGACCGTTCTTTCGTTTTTTAACTCGACCTATTGGCGTCTACACCAGTGGTGTAACGTGCTTTGCAATGAATTGATGGATCCTCCATTTATACCCATGGAAAATGGTCCATTATCAAGGTGTCCGTAACGAGCACTTCCACAATCGATTCTTTACCATAGCTTAAAATGGGGAAGTATCGATAATCGATGATCCATGCCTCGCCACTGGCATGAGCGGTAATTGAATATTGCTGAACGAACTCATCCCGGGAAGGACTGAGAACATCCAAGAAGCTTTTTGAGTTTAATGGAGTTTGGAGTTGTTCTTGCGAATTTTTCGCTGCTCCAGAAAAACGGCCTGTCTCATTTAATTTCGTATAGGTCAATCTTTAAAATACGTCAAAAATACTAAAAGTCTCTTCCCACATTGAAGATAAGTCAAGTCGATTGACACGCGGATCGAGTCAAAGCGACTCAAACTGTGGGTCGTTCATAGTCCATTGGAATTTTTCCGAGGTAAATCGGACGTTTTTAAGTAAAAAAGAACCATATCTATTCCGACATGAGCCCTGAGATCCATAAGAATACATGTATGAAAGGGCAAAAGGCTCATGTCACATAATGGAAATAGTTCTTTTTCATCGATGATCGTCCAACTAGAGTAATTTTACAGTCAATTTGAGTCATTTGGAATCAATTAGAGTCAAAGTCAACTTGGGAGGGATATCCATAAAAGTGTCTTGTCTTAACCATCATATTGGAACAAAATATTATTATTTTTACATGTATATAGGTCGCTTTATAGCACTCCCTCGCGCTCTACGACACCTTACCTCCATCTGCCCTCTGTCGAACCACAACACTTGGGGGCATTGAGCACCTTAACATTTTTGCTTCAATCCCCTTCCTCCAACCTCTCATTGGGCACCCTCTGCGCCTTCTTCCAGCCCCTCTATTATCATTTTTAACCATCCAAATTGATTCTAGAAAAAAAATTTGGAATTTCATCCTCAAATTGGCATCGTTGTTTTCAAGTACGTCCCTCGTGACGGGAGCAGCGGTGGCTGCGGTGATCTCAGGGTGAGGGAATTGATTTAAAACCCTCACAAAACCGTAATTAATCCCCCCGTCCCCCCCATTTTAAACTACCCCCTCGTCTCGTCGTTCTCTCACTCTTCGTACCCGCGCTCGGTTCCTTCTTCTCTCCACCTTTCTCCCTCTCTCTATTTATCTTGCCCCCCGTCTCTCCAACTGTAATTCGTCCCGGTTCTTTCCATTATTTCTTCTAATAAACCGTCAGAAAACTTCCTTAATTTATTACCCCACTTTTTAACTCCTCAATGCCCGGGGGTCGATTATTCAATAGTTATCGAATGACCTTCATCGATAAAGCCCTGTCTTGGCAATGCTATCTATCGATCAAGGATCGTTCGATATATTCGACTTACTGGTTTTGGTGCGCGAGGGTGAAGACAGGGACTTGATGCTAGTTAAATCGTCTAATTTTCAGCCAGAGGTCTTTGCTGAATAACCCTGCCATGATCTTGAAAGTTTCGGCCCGCGAAATTAGCATTATTCTGGCTTTTATAAAAAAAGTGAAGCAGTTAATTGTTTTAAAAGTGAATACTTTTCTAGAATCTGGAACGGATCTCCGATAGCATCTATCAGAGGTCGTATATAAATGAATCGGTCAATTCTAAATTCTAACATGTCTATTCTCTAATGAGCCCTGGAACTTCATAAAAAATGCATCTATTCTTTGACTCATTAGGCGATGAGCGCTATTCAGGGTGTCCCAGGCCATCCGGCTTTTCCCTCAGTCGTTTGAGGTCATATCAAAGTTGAGGCGACTGAGGGAGGGGGAGGGGGCAATAAAAAGTAATTGATTCCAAGAAATGGGGTTCTCATAATCTTGAAGCTCCCGCGGTGTCCCTCAGGAGTAGAAGAGGGGGTCTTATTGACTTTGAAAATCGAGGTTGCCGTCACAATTTTGAAATTATTGTATCAAAATTAGAGAGTAGGGAAAATTTCAACTTTAATCGATACGTCAAAGTTCAAAATCAGCTCAGATCAGTCCAGAATACTGACCCCTGAAATTGAAGGATGGAACCCTCCCTCGATAAAATGCTGGGTCGCTGAATTGACATAGAGCAGTGACAATAAATTCTTGATAGTTGGTAACCTTGCTTCTCCTCCATTTAAAACTATGTAAAACAAAAGATTCTATCGATTTCTGCCTCACCTAAAATCGATGCAATTAATAGAATTAAAAGGAGGTAAAACGGTGTTGCCAACTTGCAAAATTGCCACTGACATAAAGGCCCGAGGAAAAGGTGTTTTATCAGAAAGCCACTAGGATTCACGGTGAATTTTTAATCCTAACAGGGCTTTTTCCGTGTTCCTACCTCTGTAAACTGGCCAAAGTTTTGCACTTTCGGCCCCAGCAGTTAGCCTCCTGCACTGGAAAAAAAATACATTGGAACTAGAGTCCAGACTCTTTAAAACATCGACAAGAAAAAATACTCTTGATTCAATCAGATTCAAGCTTAAATCAAGAACCAAGCCTCTTAATTTGAGCGGATTTCTTTTTGATTTAAGCTTAAATCTGATTGAATCCAGAGTTCTTTTTCTTGTCAATGTTTTCAAGAGTCTGGACTCTAGATCCAATGCGTTTTTTTTTCCCCAGTGTGACCAACCTGCAGGCTGATTATTGGAATTGATGGACAAAGCTATAGACAGAGAAGACATGGGGTGAATGAAGCAATCCTATCGATGGAAGTGGGTGGTTGCAATGGACGAAGGGGGTAAGTAATAGACTAACTAACAGCAACCCACCAGAGTCCCCACAGTTGGTCCATCATTTACCCCTTCAGTCTATAATAACCACTCGTTTCAACCAACGGGGTCGCCCCATACTCCCTATGTCTTCTTTGTCTATCGCTTTGCCCATCTATTTCAATAATCAGTCCGCTGGAAAGAGAACAGTGTTGGCTTTCCCGGCTTCGATTTGAGGAACCCCAAGAGTCACCGGTTACTAGCAATAGCCATTTGTATGTTCAGCGAGAGCGCCAACTCAAATTTGCTTTGAGTCTATGCCCAAAAGCTCGCCGTAGGCCCAGCTCCGCCGAGACGGAATCCAGGTTTCAAATATTTACTCGCCCTTAAGAGTTGGCAAAGCTGAGGAGATCGGTGAGGAGTCAAGATCACGGCATTCAACAGGCTGTCAGCCCCCCCCCCCTTTCAACCCCAGCTCATGAATAAAGCTCTTTCAAGGCTTAGAGCTGATAAGGTTTGTATAAAAATTTAGAGCGCCGTTCGATTCGAGGAAGGCTCGCCGACTCCGCTGAGCCGAAGAAAAACGCCGTATGAACATTTCAGCATTGCCAACTTTTCCCCGTTAAATTGAGCATTTAATGGACAGCTGAGAATGTTTTCCTCCGAGACTCTTAAATGGATTACATATATTTTGCAAACAGGACCCACTAGCATTGCAATGATGCTAAGATTGTGCAACTTCATCCTTTGCAATAAAATTGCGAAATCGTGCGAAAAACTATGAAATTTAGATGGTAATTTTTGTCTTAAATTCACAGTTTTCAGCGAGTAAAATAGAAACTATGAATGGATAATCGGATTTTTCCTCCAAGACAAAAGTAGTTGCACAATCTTAGCAACATTGCAATGCTAATGGTTCCTTTTTGCAAAATGCAATCCAAATCATTTATTTTTAGTCTCAACTTAATTTACTGTTTCCAAACATTTCCAGGAACAATATTTATTATACCTTTTTTAAAAATGAATACATCAGCAGGGAAAATTTATCTAAATTCAAATGCTCGTCCAGCTTTCTATCTTTTATTATATTTCATGGAAAATTATTATGCTAATGAATTTTAATAATGGCATGGAAAAAGTCTATTCTCTGGGTAACCACAGTTAAAATAGTGAAACAACCAGAGCACCATTTGAAGAAGAAGGGGGGGGGCAGAAAAGACGAATGCCGCTTCCCCATATGTGAAATTTGATATTTTCTCCACCTCTCCATATCTCCAACCGAAAAAAAATGTGCCTCTTCTCGTAAAATTTTGCGCCTCTAAAAATCAGCCAGAGACGCATTCATCGAAACAACTAGGGCAGATCGTGCATCAATTTATAACAAGGAATAAAAGTAGGAACCACCCCTTTTCCGAGAATTTCCACCTAAAATTTATTTGCCCGGAGATCTTTGACCGAGAATTCCGCATGCGCGCACGTGCAAACTGAGGTCACTCACACTTCGAAGAAAATCCTTAAAACTTTGATGCAAAATGCATGCTTCTACTACTTTATCTTTCGAATTGCTAAGATTGCAAAGCCACCACAATGAAGGAATGTTCGATTTCTCGATCGTGTGTCCACCCGTATAGCTCGAAGAGCGATTTATTGTGTTTAAAAAGCACGATAGGAGTTCGGACTCCTACAACTGCGTGATACAACTATTTATACTCCCGAGTGGCGTAAGATGCATAGCCACTAGTATGAAGGCGCTCCCAGTTACGCGCTTATAGGTATTCTTTGAGAGTTCTTTACCTCCATCGCAAGTTCGCAACATTTAAAAATCTCCGATCATGTTTCATTCCTTTCAAAGAAACTGAACAGAAATATCTTCTTGAAATTTTGTGAGAATGTTGTTGACTGGAAGAAGAAAATTGATAGAAAATATTAAGCTAAAACTTTTGATTAGTTTTTTTTTTTTTTTTTTTTTTTTTTTTTTATTTTTTAACATTAAACAGCTTTTCATTAAAAGCTACACGACTTACTTTTAATCCTTTTGTCCGTACCGTATATACTTTTAACCAATAGTGAAGGCGTGGGCAAAACGTTTTTAGGAGAAAAAAGTAGAAAAAAAATCAGCAAACCAAGTCTTGCGTATGGTATTTCAGAATTAAACCTCAATCTGAAAGGTAAAACGTTTAAAAAGTATGTTGTAGTTGACAATCATCCAATTTCTACTTTTTGGGAGCTATGGCTGCCCAGAGTAACAGTTATTTGATTCTACTCGAGTAAATATTTTCAACAGTGGCGTGGCGTGCTTTGCAATATATCGAATGATCTGCCATTTTAACCTATTGAAGGGTTCGATAAACAGGGTGTTCGCCGCGAACGCCTTAATAATCGATTTTTACCATAGGTTTAAATTACATGTCAATCGATATATCGCAATTCACGCCACGCCACTGATTTTCAATTTCATTTCCCATCTCGTATTTTACATCTGCACGAAGAGGGCGAGTCCACAAGTACTTATACAAGGTGACAAGGGACACATCTGCCTTTGAAATTCTAATTTTCTTTTGCGTGCGTGTGAAAAAGCGACGAGAGGCAAGAACTGGATGTTGGGCCTCCTTGCATACGTTTTTCTGATCTCGCATATTATTTTCTTTTCTTTCAGAGGATAATGGACTCCGCAGAGCAAGCTGCCTTGCCGCAAAAGTTCGACTCGAGCAGCCCCAAGTACTTCAATAGCAAGGACATTAACTCGCCGAAAACTGGCTCGGGCAGTTTCATGGAGTTCAACAAGCATTTTGACCATTCTTATGTTAACACTTCATTTAGTGTCGTCATAGTCCCGAATAAAGTCAAAGAGACTGGTGAGTTTTTAAATTAGTTTTTCAGTTTTTTTATTTTTTTTTTATTTTTTTTTTTTAAAGAAAAGCTGTCTTCGCACTTTCGGCATCTTGCAGTTGGCACTCAACATCTGAATTTAGTTGTTTTATTTCGATACATGGTAAGACTATGGAGCCACGCATTGCATTGTTAACGACGTAAGATACCTTCCAAAAAAGTAATAAAATTATTTTTCAGAGGCCGATCAATCGCCTTTCTTGTAAAACGTCATAACATAATGTTGTGGGATTTTACCCTGCCTTTTAAAGAGTATATTCTGAGAATTTTCTTGCTAAAAATTTAGTGTTAATGTATGTATATTACTATACATCAAATGTGTAGTGATATAGATCAGTAGGAATCGAAGTTCTGAAAAACTGCAATTTGAGTACATAAATTTAAAATTTTAAGATCGACTATTGTTTCCCAGAAAAATTTTACAAGAGCGTGTCTCTGGATTGATAATGATCCGAATCTCAGCGATGACACTTGGCAGATGACTTATGAATTGTGACGTAAAAACCCTGTTATGTTATATGTCATCACAGTTACGGCGAAAGATATCAATTATGTTCGGCCGAAATTCTTTAATCAATAGTGCTGTGAATTTCGTGAAACTTTGACAGATTACATTTCTAACCAAGCTTCCAACTTCAGCGCCCTCAACGCTTTGGGGCGCCTTCAAAACTAGAGATAGGCCATATTAATGACAGTAGCGGGCGGGAAGTGGTACATGAAAATGAAGGCGCTTAGTATGAAAGTGCCTATCCGCTGTCCTACCCTTGATACGCAAAGCGAGCTAGGCTATCGTCCTTGGGAAATTTTTTTAATTATCATACTATATTTTACGGCATGTTAAATTTATGAATTTTACATCTCTGCGAACAACTTTGTGGGAAACACAGGAAATTCCTCCAGACGAGAGATGCTCAGATGAAATCGCTCAATAATTGAATTTCAAAGACGGGCATTTTAAAGGAATTGAAATTGAGAATTTCAGAAGTACAAATTTAATTTATTCGTGAATTGCTTATCGGGAACAAGACATGTAACCAAGACCAAATATGATAGGATAACGAAAATAACATAATATACTCAGAAAAAGTATTTCTACGTGAATACAGATTTCGAATATTCATAAAAAAGACGTGACCATTGAACTTTCGGATTAAATTTATTTTCTCCATACCTACTGCCACACCAAGCTTGCGCCAAGCTTTTGCGTGCGAGCAGTGGCGAAACTAGACAAGAGCACGTTGGATCCTTCAAAAAATGTGAGGGATTTTTGATGTTCTAATGTTTTGTAAGTTAAATATAATTGCGCGACATTTATGCCATATTTAAAACTACATTTAAATACATGTTTTCGGGAAGAAAAACTCAAATTGGCTCTCAGGGTGTCCCAATTTTTCAAACTTTCCCGAATTCTAGCCCC